TAAAATAATATATTAAATAATTTTAATTAATAAATTTATAAAATTTTTTAATATAATATTAAAAATTATAAATTTTTATAATTTTTATTAATATTTAAATTTTATCAAATTACATTTTAAGAAATTTAATTGTAGAATCTCTAGCATAACAAAATTTTCCAAATTCCTGTGACAAAGGAAAGATTTCTTGTTCTTGAAATCTTTTATATAATTTAGATTTTAAGTTATTAAAATATCTATCATCATTAAAATAAAAATAAGTATTTATATAACATTTTAAATATTTTAATTTAGACCATCCTTGACCTTGTTTAAGATTTTTTGTATGATTAAAATACATATTAAATCTTAAATCTTTAGTATTATTTTGGATACATTGATCCAAAGTAAGAATTTCATATTTAGAATCTTTTATATATATATTTAAAGTATTAATATTTAATTCCAAGGAAATAAATTCTTGTTGTTTATATTTTTTAGGTATTGCTCTAATACAATCTTCAATAAATAAAGACCAGATTTTATCAGCTAATAATTCCATTTCATTATCACAATTATTTATAGATTTAAGTAAAATTAAATTTATATAATTTCTAATTTGTATTTCAAGTTCAGGATCATCTAAAGATAAAGATTCAATAGGAATTGATAGTTGTTGATTATTTTGAAAATTAATATGAATAATACATTGTTCAATATCAAAAATTTCAGGTAATAACCAAATTGTATTTGATTTTTTCATTATTTCAAAGATTTCTAAAGTCCCAATATTATTTGGATTATTTGAATTTGAATCACCAAAGTATTTTTTAATAAAAGGTATTGTTTCAAAACTTTGATTAATAGTTTTCATTAAAATAAGTAAGCAAATTCTAAAATATTTTTGATTTAGAGAAAGTGGTTGTGATAAAGAATTAAGAGAAAGATTGTATGTATTTAAAAATGTTTTGAGTTTTGCAATTTTAAATTTTGATATAAGCTCAGTTGGTATAATATAAAAAGGATTTGTTTCAAGAAATTTAGGTAATTTGTTTATAATTATATTTAAAATTTGATGTATATATTCAAACTTAATTCTATATTCTAATCTTGCACCATAATTAGTATTAGTAATTTCATTTAATATACTAATTGAACTATTACAGGCTTCTTGAATTTTTTGAGGATATCGTATAGCATCATCTTCAGTTAATTTTTTTAAAAGAGTATCAGTTAAACTTGAAAATGCTTCTTTTTCTATATGATATGCTTGAGCATAATAAATTCCATTTTGATATCCAGTTATTTTAGCTTCACCAGCAACTCCACAAATATCATAAGTATGAGCCCAATTATCAATTCTTGAAGTTGTAGTATCAGTAGAAAAGGTAATACCAATTCCTTGTAAAAGATTTATTGCAGAATTTCTTGACCAATAAATAGAATTAAAAGAAGAAATATTATTTGAAATAAATTCAATACCTAAATCAATTTTAGTATTGTTTTTCCAATTAGTATTATTTAAAGAGAAATTTGAATAAATAAAACTTAAAGGAATATCATAAATATCAACTAAATTATTAAATTTTGTATAAAGTTTGATATTTTTTGAATAAATATGATAGAAATAATTTTGAAATTTTGATAAATTAGGAGTTGAATTAATTTTTGTATATATTGTATTAGAAAGATTTGATAAATAAATTTGAGGAAGAGGATATGATGAATTAAAACAAGTACCATTATCTTTTTTTGATTTAAGATAATAAGCATTAAAAGTAGGTGGATAATGATGTAAAATATCTATTGGACAATTAATTTCTTTTAATGAAGGTAAAAAAATTTGATCATACCAAATAGATAAATCATTATTAGTTAAAAAATTTTGTTTTTTTGAACCAGGAATATACATTTTAGGAAAAAATATCAAAATTTTAAAAACACTACAATCACCAAATTGAGCAAATTGAAAATGAGGAATATTTATCATTTTAATTTTTTTTTTTTGGTTATTTTGATCATAAATATCTATATATTCATGATTATGATGGTTTAAATTCCATATACGATTTGTAAATGGAAAAAATTGAATTGGTTTTGTAATAATATCTAAACTAAAAGTATTTAATAAAAAAGAATCAATATCAAATTTATAAGAAATTTGATTTGATGAAATCATTTTAAATTGACTAAAATCAATTTGTGGAAAAGATTGAGAACCATCATTATTATAATTAATAATTGAACTATGTAAAGCAGTTTTAATTTCAGATAAAGAAGCATTATTTTGTGAAGCAGGATTCAGAAAAGTTTGGATATATTGTAATAAAGTATAAGAATCACCATTTCTAATTATTAAAGGAAAAGAAATTGTTGAATGAGTAAGAATACAATTATACATATTAGAAAAAACTGTAGATTCAGGATTACTATTAGTATCAAAATCACTAATAGTTTCATTATCAGAATCAAAATTACTGATAATTTCATTGTCAGAATCATTCATAATAGAACTATTATCATTATCAATAATAATAGTAGAACTTAATTCACCAAATTGATAATTATTAGAAGACATTATATTTTAAACAAAATAGAAGGTTTTAAAATAAAGTTATAAAAACTTAAACAAAAGAAAAAATAACTTACTTTTATAAAAAATTTTCAATTATTATAATTGTAAAGACTTATTTATAAGAAAATAAATAATTAGTATTCTAATTTAATTATTTAATTAACTGGAATTCTAATCCCGTTAATTTTAATTAACTGGAATTCTAATTCCAGTTAAGTTTAATTAATCAGAAGATCAAACCTAATTAATTTTAATTAACTGGAATTTTATTTCCGGTTAATCTTAATTAACTGGAATTTTAATTCCGGTTAATCTTAATTAACTGGAATTTTAATCCCGATTAATCTTAATTAACTGGAATTTTAATTCCGGTTAATCTTAATTAACTGGAATTTTAATCCCGGTTAATCTTAATTAAC